TCAAAATTAACAAAGTTTGAACCCCCACAATTTACCTGGACCTAAGTCATAGAAGCCAGTCTTGTTCGCGACACACCATACATCTATGGTTATTTCATATATGAAAGAAAAATTAAAATCCTTTCATGCATACTGAATCAGAGCGGACATGACCACCACTGTCTATATGTATAAAGCCTGAATGACTGACGGAATGACAGACTGACAGACGGACGGTTCGATTTTAATATGCCATCCTTCGAGGGCATAAAACATTTATTTACATGTATTCATAATTTATGTGACATAAAACAACTCTAAGTAAGATTTGGTTTATATCATTCCAATATGCCCTTACATCTACATATTGAGTGTAAATTAAACACTTAACATAAGGAAGCCTACAATCAAAAATTTAATTTAGCATTGTCTCTATTACTGTTACTTTTAACGATTCTCTTTCACACTGTATTGAATGGCTATCAATTTCAAAATACAGCTACATGATCAGCAAGATTATCAGCCCATTTTCTCACTCCTGACTGAGTCTCACAACTCCTCATGGTGTCCATATGCGAGATACCATGTAACGGTGGAGACATCGGAACACATTCAAACTACGTGTGCACCAGCCATAAGAAAGGCAGTAATAAACATCAATGCTGTTATTCGTGCAGATAATCCAATTCATGTAGTTATGGCTGCTTACATGTATGCTCTGCAATTTCGTGCACAAAATAAAAGGATCCTTTTGAATTGTGAAAAAGGACAAGTCAAGACTTTCTGTCTATTTATTCTTGGAAACAGCTGGAGCTTAATACCATGCTTTTTTCTCATCCTGGGAAAGTGTACTGAACACATTTCGTCCGTTGACTCCTAACATATTTCCTGCTTTGGCAATTTCTTGTGAATATTTTTTAATGAGAATAATACTAAATTAATAAGATTTAAAACTTCTTGTTGAATTTTTAAGCAATTAAATGTCTAACAAATCTTTAATACCTTAATAACTATGAAATAGCACTGACTTAAAATGCTAAAAATCTGAAGGAATAAATACATTAATGAAATAACATATTATTTACTGAAAAAGCACTATCTATTTTATTAATTATTAAAACGAAAAAAAAAAGAAAAAAAAAAGAGTTCATGATCAAGGTTTTGAACTCAATTCTCCTGGGTGAGAGGCTCCCATGCTACCACTGAGCTAATGCCACATTCCGAGATGTTATGACATCATTTAACAAGTAGTTTTACATATACATCAATGCAGACGATCTGGAATTAGATCTATAAAGTTTAAATACTCTACATACAGTAACTGTATCTTTAAATTGTTTTGAGACTTGCAATAATTTTATTTTCTACCTTTTAAAAAGACATAAAAACCTCTTAATCACTGTGTTTAAACGACCACAGTTTTGTTGTTGTTGTTGTTTTTTTGTGAGGGCGAAAGAACCGGACCCAGATCAAGTATTCAGCAATAAAATAGCTTGAACAGCATAACTTCTTTCAATGAATCAATAAAATTACATAACAACACCTTGCTAATTCTAAGAATGAAATATTTAAGGCATAAGTATAATTTCAGCATTTATTTATAAGCGTTTACAAATAATTCTTTTAACCTGCCAGAGTTTTGTTTACAACCGTTACAGTGGAAACCGTCGAACTCGTACCAAAACATAATCGTACTTATTTTAGTGAAAGTGCCTTTAATTTACTAGAAATGATTTTCCTGCAAACATTTATTAAAATATATGTTATGAATCATATTTCAACAACTTAGAATAAAAATTAATAATGTTGAGTTCAATATACATGCTCAATGATTTGCATTTACTGAAATTAATGCCAGAAAATGACGTTTAGATATTAGATAAAAATCTTATTTTGGAATAGAGCACAGGCAAGCCCCAACTTTATATTGATATAGTTGAAGCCTCTGATACATTACAAAACAATGGTGTAATGATTTTGTTGGGGCTGGACTGTGCTGATACTTTAATTTTCGTTTAAAACACCAAAAATACGTGAATTTTCCTAATTTTGCTGGAAATAGGGGTATTTCCATAGAACATAAATCATACTAAATGTAAACATATGTCTATAAATTCATATTTTTTTAACAGTTTAAGGATTGAACTTATAAATAAAACCTAAAAACAAGAACTTTTCATCAAATTATTTTTTGCCAAAATCTTGGGCAAAAATCCATGGTTAGTGAACCTAGCTCTTTGTAAAAATAACAAAACAAATACAATTTAAATAATCGGATCAAAATAAGGATCAATTTTAGGATCAGTATCAATATTTGTATCAACTGTAAAATGCCCTTGTCTTGCAAAAATAACAATAAATTTATTCTAAAATTTCATAAACTTGCTATTGCAAGTCCAGTTAAGATATTTAATATATAAGGATAAACAATGAAGAATATTAGAATTTTAAATTTGATCTCTTTGTGAACACGGTGCCAGGGGTTTCGCTTGTGGATTTATTCTGTTTTGTCAGAGAAATTGCCCTTGCCATTTTCGACTTGTATCGTATGTAGCTCAAACACTATTTGATCCAGGGTCATGAAACTTTACAGGAATGTTGATCAGCATGTGAAGTTGTGTACCTGGGTATTTTCGTGAGGATTAATGTAGTATTTGTAGAGTTATTGCTCTTGACTTAGTAGAAATTTGCAATTTTCATTTTGTGTCGCACGATCTCAAAAAGTTTTTGACCTAGGGTCATGAAACATCATGTTACTCAGCATGTGAAGTTGTGCACCTGGTGTTTTGTATGTGGATTTTGTTCATTTTTGTTAGAATTATTGCCCTTGACTTAGTATAAATTTGCAATTTTCAATTTGTTCATGCATAGCTCAAAAAGTATTTGACCTGTAGGCCTGAAAGTTTACAATAATGTTGGTCAGCATGTGTACTTATGCACCTTTGGGTTTACTTGTAGTTTTACTCTGTATTTGTAAAGTTCTTGCCCTTTATTTAGTAAACACAAATTAGTTTTCAACTTGTAAAACATGTAGCCCAAAACATATTAGACCTAGAGTCATAAGATTGACAAAACAGTGGAGTGTGGGGGCACTCCTATGGACACATTTCTAGTTGTTGTTTATTTAGTCTATACGTCGCTTTTCGTGGAATGGCACAAACGTGTCACACTGAAGGTTTAAATCAAAATATTGTTGTTTATTGCCTCCGAGGGATCACCATCACCCCTTTTCCAGATTTTCTACTTCATAACAGCAAATGTTTTGGCGTCATATGGCCCATACTGTGCTGTACACCGTAAAACCAAACAAATAGCTGTAAAATTTAATTGATATTTCAACTCATCTTTTCAAAGTGACTATCTGCTTGAATCTGCATAATTTGAATTTGGGAGTGATTTTGTAAATATAAAACATTTTTATTTCATTGGTTACCTTGAAAAGCTGTCCCCTTATCTCTTAAGATTATCCCATTTTTGTCAATCATATGAAACAACATGCACATGTGTATAATGATAAAAAATTGCGCGGATTTCTAACCTTTGTCGTTCTTCTTTCACTTACAAAACTAAAGTTGGTTCTAGAAGAACTGTTACTATGGATAGAGGGTCTCTCGCGTCCATCGTCTTCCGTCAACCTTTGTTTCAAATATTATCTTCTATGCAGGATTATTTCTAGCATGAAGTTTTTTAAAATTATTCAAAGAATTCTATTCCATGCAACTGTGGTTGCCACGGAAACTTCATTGGCTATTGCCACGGAAACTTCATTGGCTATAACTTAGATATTTGGTATTAAACATTGCCCTGTTGACCTCTTCCAAATTTTGACCTATTTTTTTGTATTCAAAAGTACAGCTATGAAATTTGGACCAGATATCAGTTGAACTACATTTTGATTTTGTGACTTACGTTTTGTATTCAAAGCTACTGTACAGGTATAAAATTTGGACTATATGCACAATTTGAACTTGCAATATGGGCACTAGTTGATTTAAATTTTGACCCAGTGACTTACTTTTTGTAAATATGCCACAACTATAGATGTGGACTTAATGCAGTTTAGGGTGCAACATTGAACGTTGACCTCGATTTTGACCCAGTGAACTACATTTTGTCCTTAGAGCACTGGAATTTAAACTACAGCCACCGTTTCTGATGCCGATTTGAACTTAAGTATCAGTTGATCTTTCTTTATTCAGTGACATACTTTTTACCTCATCTGAGCATTCTATGTACCATGCAGTGTTTCTCAGGTGAATAATAAAGGGCCTGTTTGGCCCTCTTGTCTTTATATTGTTAATACTTTATTCAATAGGTTACAAATTTTCGTACTACAACCTACATCTCCATCAAATCTTAAATGTTGTGCACCATCCAAAACGTTTTTTGAATACATTTTCAAAATTTTTGAGAAAATTAGCATGGAACTGGTAGTGTGCTGCTTTACAATGCTTTAAGCAGGAATTTTTATGCATATGGCCCCCAAATTTTTCTACACAGTCCACATTTTATTCTATATCAAAACCTATCTTTTTATATCATTTAATATTTAGGTTTTATGACACTGACAACACATTTTAAGTACTAGTATTATATATATACTTCGGGCATCAGTAGAACCTGTCAGGTCCAAGGTAGAACTATCAACTAGCTTCTCAAACATAAAAGAATTCACTCATTTCAGGACTTGATTTTACAGGGATAGAGGAATATTTCTCTCTTTTGGTTGGGATTAATGTCGCACCAACACAGTATAGGTCATATATATGGCGACTTTCCAGCCTTACTGAGGGAGAAAGACTTCAGAAGCCCCTCCGAACATTATTTTGGGCACAAACGGACACCTGAGTAGAACCGCTAACATTTTGTAAATGTTTAAGCCAGCTTGGTGGAGACTCCGGAAGTGCTGGCGTGGCTCAAACATACAGAAGTGAGGGGCAAGTGGTTTAAAGTCAACAACCATAACCACTCCATATAGGGAAATAAAGCAATATCATTACAAACAAACTACAATGTTCTTAATATTCATGTATATTATATTAATTCATAATTGCATAAATTTATATCAATGTTATAAACTTGTATTACAGTGAAAAAATATCTTTTTTTACAGTAAATGTGTCGTATCTTATATATAATCACATAAACAGTCTAAGCACAGTAACAAAAAAAAATGAGCACCAGCAGCCAATAAGTACATGTATACGAACAAGTAATATAACATATATGAATACAATTCACATGGCACAAATGTTTAAAACAATAAATTAATTTACCATCTAAATATTCTTAGTAACATCATATTGTCACCTTAGTACAGTAATGGGATAACTTCTTATATAATTAATTAGGAGTTAACCCATTACTGCACTTAGGTGACAATAATGTCAACTGTATTGTTTGAGAAGACATAATTTCAATATAATAAAATTATTCATGTTATTTTATCAAGGAAATATTCAACAATTTTGCTAGATTGGATGATTCATGCATTAAGTTGTATGTCGTGTCATGGCATATCCATTAATGACTGCAAATCTCATCAAAACAATCAATAGTATTATACCTCATGTAAACTTTTTACTTCATAGTGTAATGTGACGTCACATGATGTTATTTCGGCCTATCATGCTGGAAATGAATATCCCCCTGTCATTTTGTAACGAATTGGAAATGAATTACACCCAGGGGCAAGTAATCTATATAGATTTAAGAAATTGTAATGTTCTAGTTCTCTCCCCTGGCCATAATCGATAATGAATGGGCTCTTGGAGTAATAATGCATAGCGGTGAAAAATTACATTAAAATGTTGGCTAGGGTGTTATTTCAGTTCTCGGGTTGCTAATATGCACTATTACCCTGAGACACATGCGCTATTTTGATAATATCACTTTTTCTACTTTAGCCATAATTGTATATAATATATCAAAAATTGACATGTCCTGCTTTGAATTTGAAACTATCCATTGTTGATAACTGAATATATAGAAAACAAAGTAAAATGAGAGCAGGCAATATTTGATCTCCATAGATAGGCCTTTCTCTTGTACTGGTGGCATAGACAATTTATTATCAACTCTGTTATTCAAAGAGATTTATTGCAAAAAAATCCCCCCAAAAAACGTACATTGTAAATTTGTTTATATAGATTCTATTTATAAAAATATTGAACAAATCACAACCATTTTAAGTAGTAAAGCAATGAAAATTGAGTTACTGGCTTCAAGGTGTGTAATATCTAATGCATAATCCACTGACTTTTCATGTGTGGATTCAATCACTAAATCCTCTAGTTGATGCAGTGGTCTGAACTCTGGAGAAAGGCATATATACAATGTACAATTATGATTCATATTCATGTAACATGTTTCTAAATGTCCTTTAAGCAAGTCTTGTATGACAAATGACTATATTTATATAAGGTAAGAGTTGCAACCATTACAATTGGCCTATCAAGCTATAATTGCTGGCCTCTCAAACCATTATTGTCTTATAAATCATAAAATACATGAAATTATGGTATGAATTATACATACAGTATGTATATATAAGTTCTTGATAAATGCACTATGTTATATGGGAAAAATACAAAAATATAATGTCAAGCTGAATAATAAGCTGCGTAAATAGCAATGTTAACTCATTTCAAACTGTCCATTATCAGCTGAGAATGTTTTTTTCTTATGAAAAATATATCTAAAACAAAAGGACATGGTGTAAAGAGTTTTATGTGTCAAAAGTAATTTAGTAGTATTTTTTGGTAACACGCTACACATGGGGCTCAATCCAGAATAGTTAGTTTACCCATCCAACAAGAAGGAGTAAAAACTTGTTGTTTCTTTTTCTTACTGCTCACACCTTGAATATTACACATACACATACAAAATATTCAAAATAGTTTTTCAGAAAAAAAAAATGAAAAAAAAGCAGCACAAGATTTACCACAAAAAAAGCAGTAAAAAAAGTATGGCATTGTTTTTGAACTACAAAAAAACATTGCTAACACAAAATCATTTTTTTTAACTGTTTACATTAGAAATGTTCAGCAAATATCACAGATTGGCTTTCATAGAAGACGCCATGACATCTCGCATATCGTTAAGACTGTCTTTAATTAGATCCGCCATCTTGGCAGCGGGCAATGTTACATTGTTACTCTTGAAAGAGGACACTCCAAATAGAATACACTTCTCCTGAGGGTTGTAGCAGAATCCATAACCGTCCGGCATAACTGGACCGAAAAATAACACCGACTCAGATTTGGCTGGTACCTAGAAAATTGACGCCTGGTTTTAACAACAACTATAGTTTTAAACACATCAAAAACAAGAAAAAAGGCAGTTTACAACTTACAACACACCCAATGTATAAGTAGATAACAGACAAAAAAATGACTGGGGTGTAACGATCGGTGAGCAAGTGATTCAATTCTTTTTAAAAAAACTATCTTGTTAACTTTTAAAAACTGATTTATTATTATTATTCTTTAATCTAATCATCTTTTAATTTTCTTACATAAAACATAGACACAGATTGTTCATTTTCTCAAAATTAAAATACATTGTCTCTTTTCTAAAAATGAAAAAAAAATAATAAACTTTTTGTTTATTTTCTTCAGTTCCAATCAAATATTATCATGGTTTACCATAAGTCATTAACACAGGTTGCTAAACTCAAAATTTAAATATATTGCCTTTTTCCTGAACTAAAAAACTTTTCATTTTCTTAAGTTTCAATCAAATATTACAATTGTTTACCTGACTAGTTGAAATTCTCCATGAACCACTGAAAGTGTATGCTTTATCTTTAAACAGTTCTGGCATCTCCATGTTGTTTTCTAAAGCAGTTAACTTTAGTCCTAACAAATGTCTATCTATACCTTTCCCTGAGATTGCCTGTAAATAAAACAATAGCTTATCATAGTTATTTACCCTCACTTTTTACCCCTTTACAGCTCATTCATTTCCCCACCTATTACTTGTCACTGATTATCCAATTTCCCCAACTTTGAACACCATACAGCTTATTCATTTCCCTCGACAGCTTATCCAATTTTCACCACATTTTACCCCTTACAACACCCCTTCCAATTTTTACTCCTTACAGATTATTCATTTCCCCCCAATTTTTACCCCTTACTATTTATCCATTTCTCCCCCACTTTTTACAACCTACAGGTTATCCATTCATCCCAAGTTTTACCCTTAACAGATTACCTATTTCCCCCACTTTTTACCCCATACAGCTTGTACAATTTCAACCACTTTTTATCCCTTACAGGTTATCCATTCCCTCCACTTTTTACTCCTTAGCTCATCCATGTCCCCCATTTTTTACCCCTTACAGCTCATCCAATCCAAATCTGTCTACTTAACACAAAGGGGTGTGGCTTAAAACAGATTTGCAACTGCAGGCTACTCACGTCATTGGTATATTGTTTATGACTATTAATTGCACGTCTCAACAGCTCCGCCTTCTTCTGTTTACTTGTATTACTGTCCATCATTGCTTTAGTAAACTCAAACGATTCTGTTGAACAAGACCGGATAGTTTCGGTCCGTCCTTGCTGGAACATTCTTATCGAGGCAGACTCGTAAGATCCACATGTCTTTCTGTGGTGCCTAAAATATATGTTTACACTGTTTTTTGAAACAGGGTAAAAACTTGAGTGTTTTTTCTTGTATTTCTTACCCCAACAGTAAGAGGTATACAGTAAAACTATTCAAACCCGAGGGTTATGAAGATAATGGAGGTGGGTGAAATACAAACATCCCATTTGACAATTTACTGACATAATTATATGAGTACATAGGAACACTGAAAACAAGAGCTGTCAGTAGGACAGCATGCTCGACTATTCTAAGTGCTTGATAGTAAAAGAGCCTTGATAATGTTAAATTTTTTATGTTCACCAAAGGGCTAATCTTTTTTTTATAAATTCATGTTATAGGCCTTAGAGAGAGTCTAATTATACAGTATTGGCTTGACTATTTGGAAGGTAATGTCACAAGGGTGTTTTAATGAGTATAATAATACTAATTACCTATGAATACATAAATTTGACAGAAAAGGTACAAAGGCTTGTTATTAAGATGTTTTATCAAGTAAATCACTGCTTTATTATTATGAATGCATAAAATTGTCCCAAAAAAGGCACAAACCCTTCAGTAGTTATGGAGATAACAGCTTACAAGCTGTCATTTATCATGAATTTCTAAGTTGAAAAGGGGAAGAAAAATCACCCTAAATGCAAGAAAGAATTATGGATCTTTGTCAGTGACCTACAATTCTGACCCTAAATGCATATGTGAAGTTTTAAATAAATATCTTTAATAGTTATTGAGATATGTAAAACTTGCATGTAAACATTAACCAAGAGACTAAGTAGAAAAGGGGATATGAATCAGCCTTAATGCAAGATAGAGTTATGGAACTTGGTCAGTGACATACAATTATGACCCTCAAATTATGACCCTAAGTACATGTGTAAAGTTTCAAGTAAATATCTTTGAAGACCTTTAACCTTTAACCAAAATTTCTTAAGTTTCAAAGGGGCAAATAATTCTACAAATATTGCAGACAGAGTTATGCAATTTTGCAAAATGATGAACATTGTTACTATAAAAAAGTTTTGTAAATTTCAATTGAATATCTCAAGCAATAATTGAGATATTTGACTTTACAAAAAATATTTAACCAAAATTTCTAAGTTTCAAAGGGGCATAATTCTGTCAATATTGTAGGCAGAGTTATCCAACTTGTCAATCTGATGTACCTTGTTACTATAAATAAGTATTGTAAGTTTCAATTGAATATCTCAAGCAATAATTGAGATATTTGACTTAACAAAAAACTTTAACCAAAATTTCTAAGTTAAAAAGGGGCATAATTCCGTCAATATTGTAGGCAGAGTTATCCAACTTGTCAATCTGATGTACCTTATTACTATAAATAAGTATTGTAAGTTTCAATTGAATATCTCAAACAATAATTGAGATATTTGACTTTACAAAAAACTTTAACCAAAATTTCTAAGTTTAAAAAGGGGCATAATTCTGTCAATATTGTAGGTAGAGTTATCCAACTTGTCATATGATGTACCTTGTTACTATAAATAAGTATTGTAAGTTTCAATTGAATATCTCCAGCAATAATTGAGATATTTGACTTTACAAAAAACTTTAACCAACGCAGACGCCGACGCGGACGCCGACGCCGGGCGACTACAATAGCTCTCATATTCTTCGAATAGTCGAGCTAAAAACAGAATTACACTTATGAATTAATACAGGTCTTGGTTTAAACATATATATTTAAGCTTGATTGCGAAACAAGTTCTTGCAACTTATATTAATCACTTTCGAGTCTGCTTCCTGGAACCAACTAGTACTGGTGTCATATGAAGAAACATGGCCGTTACCTGATTAGGGCTTGAAGCCATGATCCCTGGGTTGACAGGCAGACACCTTAACCACTAGGCCACCAGCCCCTTTAGGTCTGTATTTGACACTATTTATTGCAATATTAAATTCTATCAGTTAGATCAAATCTACATCTCTCAATGTTCATCACTTTTAAAAGTCAATAAATGAGCCGTGTCATGACAAAACCAACATAATGGGTTTGCGACCAGCATGGATCCAGACCAGCCTGCGCATCCGCGCAGTCTGATCAGGATCCATGCTGTTCGCTTACAAACCCTATAACAAGTAGAGAAACTGATAGCGAACAGCATGGATCCTGATCAGACTGCGCGGATGGGCAGGCTGGTCTGAATCCATGCTGGTCGCAAACCCATTATGTTGGTTTTGTCGTGATACGGCTCAAATGAAGGTTCCAAAGATCGAAGTTTTATAGTTTTATCAAACTTTGGTTAATCAAACAAGTACTATATACCAGGTAACAAAACTAAAACCTTAAGAAAGACACTTTCTAGATATTTATTTTTCATTCAAACAAATGTTAACGAAAAATTCTAACCTATAATATGCAAGCTGTATTGCATTTTGTATAAAACTGTCAGGGCTGACTTTCTGAGACTTGGGGAAATTCTTTCCAAACTCATCAAACACAAAGACTTTCAGGTCAAGGTCATTAACCATCCTACATAAAACAATACATGAATGAAAGGTTTATTATTATTACACAAGTAAATAAATTTGAATAAACTTCAATATTTAGCTTGACTATTCAAAAGAATAGGAAGACGTATAATTGTACTTGCCCCAGTGTCAGCCTTGTAGTCACAGTTTGTGCAAGTTGGTATCTCTAAAAGCTACTGAAGGGAATGGGTTAAAACTTCACACACTTACTCTCTGTGATTATTTAACATGATGGGCTGAGAGTTCTATAACTCTGAGTTACCTTTTTATAGAGTTCTGCCCCTTTTCTTACTGTCAGTTGAGCATACTGTCTTACAGACAGCTCTTGTTCTTGATATTCTTATCTTTCAGCTTACATTATAATTATATATTTATATTTTTGTTAATAAAATTACACATATTATATAAAGAGAACAGGAAGATTTTAAAGGTATTAAAATCTAAATTTGATTCTTAGTTTAAATTAGATCACCTCACAATCAAGATTATCTTAAATAGAGATAATGTTTGGACACAAACAATTTATTATAACTTGTTAAAACTTGAACACTTTCCAGTCCACTTCATTGAACTAACCAGTACTAATAACATAATGAAGAACATGCTTGTGACACAAATAGGACTCAAACCAACATCCCTTACACTAATTTAGTTTAGTTCAAATGTGTAGGAAGCTATAAGCTTATTGAAACACTCCTGGAATCCATTCCTGGAACCAACCAGTGTGAAGCAATGAGTGTAAAGTTTCTTGCTCACAAAAACAATGGCTTGCCCCCTACAATGTTTGAACCCACGCAACCAGAAATCCTTGGATTATTAGTCTGATGCATTCACCACAAGGCCATTCCACCACACCCTTAGAATGAGGGCCAAACAAATTAACAACTAGGTCTCTCCTCCAATTTCCAGCTTAATTGACACAATGTATACAAATATTGTAAAATTGTTACTATGTAACTAGACTATACTGTGTAAAGGCCTGGTACCTGGCTGAGTTTTCCTTGGCTAGTGTAAGACTTTTACTAACATCATTTGTGAGATTAAACTGTAATTTTGTAGGTGGTTTTACATCAGATGCCGGGCTCCATTCTTTACCATTAGCCCTGTAAAAATGAGCAACAATTAACTTACAAATCATAAGATACCTTTCTTCTTCAATAAACTACTGTTGCTCTAAGTCAATAAAATTAGTTTTCAATCATATTCAATGTATTAACTGCTGTCATAGATGTCATAATATATTTCAAATTCAGCACAAAGGATTACTTAATGCTATAAAACATAACAACATGGAAAACCAGAAGCTACTTTTCAAGCATTACAAGTTCATATGTTAATTTATTTGAACAGTAACTTGGAAACAAATTACATTGAAAAATCATATACCTATAATATTCCTCAAAGAAAATAGGAGAAAGTATTAATTAAAGTTTCTTACAAAAAGTTTAAACAATGATCCATGACATGTATGATTGGTGGTCCCTCGGCAGTGGTATGCTCATAATTCAACCCACTGTAACCATCCGCTCCTACTATAAACTGAAAATAAAACATTGCTTTATGTTAAAATATTATCAAAATTCAATACTCTATTAAAAACAAATACATGTCCATTAAATAAAGCTATATGGTTATAATCAAGGTTTTTATTTTTATCTGAGGCAACAGATGTGCCAACAAAAGCAGCCAATTTGGGCAAGGATGATATTTTAATATACAGGATGAAAATACAACTGATTTTAACAGCATTTCAACAGATGATATGGATTGCTGATTTGTTAATTGTGAAAATCCTGATTATAGAAGATCAAAGACATGTAGTCACTTTAATGCAGAAACGGGTTAAAACCTTCTAAATTTAATAGGAGTTAACCAGTTATTGCCCTAAGATGACGATGTATCCCAATAAAATGTAACTTACTTAGTAATTGAGTTGAATGCACCAAGGGCCTTGCGGCCTAGTACTTTCACAGCCAAATTCATGTCAAAGATCAAGATATATATACTATAACAAAGGCCCTTCTATTATATAAACAGATATTGACATTCATATTTCAACAGTAGTTTATGTTCAACTATTAGATGACGAAATCCAAATCAGCAAATCTTGTACGAAATGAACAAAGAGATGAACACGAAACCAAATACTGACTTGAAAAATAAAGGTCTTAACAAGAGTTAGGGATGTCTTGAAATTTTGCAATTTAAAAACTTTACATACCTGTATTGTTTTATCAAACCACCTGTTGCCAGAATGTAAGGAAGGTCCTCCACCATGTAGCATTTGATGTCCACTAACAGTGCGTGGATCATTCCCAAAGTCGTTTGACTGGTCCAGGCATAAAACTATGATACTGCGCTGGACTGAGTCGAAGGAGGCTTTATTTGTTTTATCTGTCAATTAAATAGTATCATTTATTTATTTATTATATTAACTAAAAAACAATAAATATCTTACTCAGTCAGTACTATTTTGAATTCCTCATAGAAAACAGTGACAAATGTATATTAAGGAAAAGAGATCTAACTCTGTGTGTTTTAGCTACATATATTTATTATGCCATGAATTTTGTAATACAATTTATTTAAAGGCCCATAATGCCCAAGAAATGATATTTCCCAAAAGCTTTTTACATTTTCCTAAAAGATGCTCAGTGACAAATTACAATTTTTTCTTCTATTGTTTTGAGGCAATTAGCACAGTAAGATCTATAGTGATTTAGTATTCTGTATGGAAGTCAAAATGCTACTACTTTGCTGATACTATATATCACAGACCAAACCACACAAATAAAACTGCAAAATGATGCTGATTCTCAATATAAGACCACTTATTTAATCAGAAGTTCCTTGTCCTGATATGTCCCAGGTTATAGTGATAGAAAAGTTTGTATGCATGTGCTTACTCTCATTAATCTAGGATGAAACAAACTGTATATCTCTTTTACCTTGGATCATTTTCTTGTAAACACTAGACCAGTTATCTCTGTGTTCCATAGTAAACAGCCCTATTGGTTCCCCTGGTGTTGACCCTTGATTTACAACCTCTAACAGCTGGTTCCTAACCTGAGATATTGTAAGTGGATTCCCATCATCACCATACACAGGCACCTCAAATATCTGTAAACAACAATATCAAAATGATATATACCTTAAATTGCTATACAGTAAAACAAGAACAGTAGGTAAAATTTTCAGTGCTTGATAGTAAAACAAGAGCCTGTATAATGTAAAATTTTGTAAGTAAAAAAAATCCATGTTAGAGTTCTGATTCTTAGACTGTTACCTTCTATTGTGTTAAAAAATAAGTGTGCAAAGTTTCAAACAAGTCCCTTCAGTGGTTTTGGAGATATAAACTTGCACGCAAAAACTTGACCAAGTTTATTTGATCTTCCAAAAATTTCTTATGAAAAATCAAAACACAAAGTACACACCTGTTCCCCTTTTTTACTTTTTACATATATACATTTCATATTACAATATCTAGTTTTATAAACTTATTATTTGTGAATATGTATAATATATGTATAGTTGACATACATTGTAGTTTAAAATGCAAATGCCACTCAACAATGATAAATCTCTACTTTTCCAATTTTATCTGAAGAATCCAACAAATAAAGCTGATTTGTTTCACACAAAGATCAAGTTTAACTAACATACATTATTATTATAGATGACAGTGATGTGTTTAGGTGCTCCTGGCCGGTCAGGAGGGTAGCATGCCCAGTCATCATGTTTCTCCAGGGGTATCCTACATGCTGCCAGCACCTGGAAGTACTGCATCATGCACAGTGGGTTCTTCCCAAGATGCTCCACTGGTAATGTCTGACTGTAATAAAATGTATGTGTAAAAAGATTACACCCCTAAATTTGAACAAAGGGCTTGTCCTGGTTTGAATATTGAACAGTCCATAGTTTGTAAAAGGGAGTTGAATTCAAAAATTGAACATTCAGCAGTCAAGTGTGTAGGCAACTGCATGATATGCAAGCAAGCCTTGTTTTACAGAACAGAACAGAAATTTTATTACTTGGTTATAAGCATAACAAGCTCATTACCATGTGACATGATTTATTATTATACAAATACAACATATAAAAATTAATTACACTTGTACCGTAATTCACATTTTCATGTTCACTACATGTATTTACATTATGTATTATGTTTGATGCTCAATCAACTTCATGTTGTTACATTATTTTCAATAAAATTCTTAGAATTAAAACTGCAAATCCTTCAATAAATGTTACATTATCAGTTTGTAGCTAGTACAAGTTAAAGTTTATAACTCATTTTCGTTTATGGTTATAGCCCGCTTATTTGAGCAAACATGTTTCTCTGTTAAAGGAACTCCACTGAGGTCCAAAAGTCTAAAAACATTTAATTTGAATTTCATAGATCAGCTGGGTCACTTAAAACAGAAAGATATGCAAAAGATAATAACGAAACATACTCAGAAATAAATTGAAATTTATATTTTAGAGTCAGATTTGAGTGAAAAACATTGCAATGCTTTTTAATTTTGGGTTATTTTTTTACATTTAGAATATTTTTTCTGGAAAAACAGGTAGAGCAAACAATATGAGAATTTGCACAAAAGTTATTAGTCTATATCTACATCAAATGGAACATTATTCTTAAACTAGAAATGTTTCCATAGGACACGGGTGCCCCCACCCCGCCACTGTTCTGTCAATCTTATGACTCTAGGTCAAACATTTTTTGAAAACTAAAAATCTTTACTAAAGTACAGGGCAAGAACTTTACAAATACTGAATAAATCCACAAGCAAACCCCAAGGTGCATAAGTACACATGCTGACCAACATTCTTGAAAACTTTCAGGCCTACAAGTGAAATACTTTTTGAGCTATGCATGAACAAGTTGAAAATTGCAAATTTATACTACTGTAAGTCAAGGGCAATACCTCTAACAAAACTGAAAAAAATCCACATGCAAAATCCCAGGTGCATGGCTTCACAGTGATGTGAATCATTATTCGTGTATTTTAGTGATGTTGATCATTATTCCTGTAAAGTTGTTTGATTCTAACTCAAGCACTCAAGGAAAAAATAACAACATAATGAAACAGTTTTTACTAAGTCAAGGGAAATAACTCTACAAATACTGGATAAATCCACCAGCGAAACCCCAGGTGCAAAACAAAATATGCTGAGCAACCTTCCCGTCAGGTTTAATGACTCTATGTCAAATCCTTTTTGAGTTACGTGCGACACAAGTTGAAAATTGCAAGAAATTTTAAGTCAAGGGCAATAACTCTAAAAATTAAACTCTAAAAACTAAACTACTGAATAAATCCAGGCGATAAGACTCAGGTGCACAACTTCACATTCTGATCAATATTCCTGTAAAGTTTCATGACTCTTGGTCAAATCCTTTTTGAGTTACATGCGACACGAGTTGAAATTTCAAAATTTTACTAAGTCAAGGGCAATAACTCTAAAAATACTAAAAAATATCCAGACGAAAATACCCAGGTGCACAACTACAAATGCTGATCAACATTCCTGTAAAGTTTCATGACACTAGGTTAAATACTTTTTGAGTTACGTGCGACACAAAAGTGAATGGACGGACGGACGGAAGGATGGAGGGAAGGATGGACAGAAGGACAGGGGTAAATCTAAATGCCAACCACTAAAGTGGGGGCACAAAAATTATTTCCAATCCTGTCACGTGAAAAAAACTCAGTGGAGTCCCTTTATTTACAGTTATTGTAATACTAATTTTCAGTTCACGTTACCTACAGTAATATTTTCAATAATTCACCTTGTAAGAAAAAGAAAAAGTTAATCCATAGTTTATTGCTGAAAGTCAACTAACTACCCGTATTTTACTATTATAATGATAATTTAAATTAAAATGACTTACTCATCTATCATAACCTTGTAGTCAAGGAGACCAGCAATCAGTTTGGATGCATACCTGAAATATTACCATCATTTATATCAGTACAACATTTAAAATAACTCTCTTGTAGAGTGCTTAAGACTTTTGGATATAATAGAAAAACAAAAGAGTAAATTGTCATTGTGGGGGGGGGGGGGAATAGAGAATGCATGCTTGATGTCAGAATGGAGAAGATTTATCCGGTGAGTGTTTGTTTAATAGGGTTTTACGTCACATCGACACATTATAGGTCATATGGTGACGTTCCAGCTTTACTGATAGAGGAAGACTTCAGGTACCCTTCCGTGCATTATTTCAGGCACCTGAGTAGAACCACCCATGTTCTTTAAGTTAGCTGGATAGCTGCCTTACATGAGAGAATCCAAAGTCTCTGTTTGGATTTGAACCCACAGCAGTGAGTGGCAAGCGGTATCTGGTGAGTGAGAAAGTGTATCTTGGCAAGCTTTAACAAGCCAAGATACAATTTCATAGTAAACTGTCCATTCCAACAATAACCATCGATTTATCCTGCTATTGTCTACTTCAATAATGTTTTTGGATTATTTAAATGGTTCCATCCTTATTTTTTTCCCCAGTAAACAGCATGTATATGTAATTCTGCTTTGCTACTAACCATGTGATGTCATCATAGGCTAACTATGTGATGTAATGACTGGAGATAGAGATAAGTTTATCTAGAAAGGCTTGAATATTATACTAATGTAGACAGTAGCAAGATAAATGGAGAAACAATAAATTTTTGCTTAGTTTTTCTACATTTGGTTCTATTGTGTCAAACACATGTTAGACAAATGAGAAAAACAACAATGTCACTCAAATATCACCTGGAAATGTAAAATTATCAGATTAGCTAAGTTTCTTAGCTTTAGTTGTTACTACACAGTACAAAATGATAACTTTTTGAAAATGATTTTATTTTTATTTAAAAGAAAAATTTCATCTCAGTTTTTCCCCTGGTATATGTTCTTACTCTATTTGTCCCTGGGTACCAGAAAAGTCTGCTTTAGGGAATAGTACTCCTGGGTTTGAATTGATCACAACTGGTTCCCTGAATCCCAGATAAGCTACACTTTTCCACCAGTCTGATAACTGTAAAATATAATTTGTATTTTTTACCTTTGGACAACTTTAACATTTCAAAACAAAAAAATAAGCCCAATGTCATTTTTCTATTTCATCTCAAAACTTTGTCTCCGGATGGGTTAATAAATTTCAAATATTTGAACTTAATATTAATAATAATATGTACATATAATACATCATAATTCTGCATGTTTGCAACTGCACTTTTTATTAGATAATTGTGACGTTTATATAAACTATATACACAGCTCCTGTCATTTGATTAAGTAATTTCATATATTTTCTTTATTAAACCAAGTATGCTGCATGTGATATAAAAATTCTTGACAAGCTACTATGTATAAAGAGTTGTTTGCAACCTGGCAGCTAATAAGGCTATATATGCAAAAACCATTTATATAGGGCCATTTAACAAGTCAAAAATCTTTACAACTTGACAGTCGTATACTTTACCCAATTATCGTGCTTTTCTGCCCTTTCTATTAGTTTAGCCTGCAATGTTTTGCCTACTCCATTTTCAAACTCTTTACAAAGCTGAAATACAGTAAGATGAAAGTCATTCAAAATATTTATACCTATGATTTATCCAAGTATTTTTTTCATATTTCAAAACACACTGTGTTAAAAGCTAGTCATCTGTAAACTTTTACGACATTTTAAACTTTCTGAAATTGTATCATAAACATGATAAATTACATATAATTTAAGTTGGAAAGGGCATCAAACATCCAAAAATAAATTGATGTATACACTTTTATTATTTTAACTTATGTAACAGTATATGTATCCAAGTTACCATGAACATGTATAAATTGAATACCTTTATATAAAAGAAAACAAATTATTGACTTACAAATTTTCACTAATATGCTCAAATCACAAGAGCATGGCATCTAGTGTTAACGTTTAACTGTTAAAAAAAGGGGCATAACTCAAAAAAATATTGCTTTCAGAATTATGCCCCTTGTTTTACAATTGCACCGTGTCATGATAAGCAAGTGTTTTAAAGTTTCGTGTTGATAACTTCTTAAATGTTTGATTAATCGTCTATATTAAAGTTTTTGCACAATGTTAAAGACACCAACGCATGACCATAATAGCTCAACTTTTTCTTTGATGCAGACAAGCTAAAAATGGCGCATAAAGACAAGATAAATTCAGAATGGCATAGTTAGTCAATTCTAGAACTTATAAAGCCCAGTGGCTTGGCTGAGTCTGAGTAATCTTGTAATCTAAGAATTGCTGGCCACATATGTTCACACCCCATTAGGGTCAAGTCATGTTTCCTTGAGCATGAAACTTGGCACATTCATTGCTAAGTACTGGTTGGTTCCAGGAACGGATTAGAAAGTGTTTATATAAATGTAAGCTTATAGCTTACAATTGAATCAAACTAAAATAAATTCTGTATAAACAAACCTTTTCTGTATGCCTATACTCGTCCTCAGTAAGAAGTGGTTCCAGAGATTTCAGGTACTTTTTCAGTGTCTGTTCCAGCGGCGCTACTGGATATTTAGGCAATGCAGCCTGCACCGAGAACATCCGACCTTTCAACTTCTTTGGTTGTAATGCTGGCATCTTTGTAAGATTTGTAGAATAAGCTTGACGAACCTGGAATATGTGTAGAGTTTGAAGTGAATTGATAGAAATTCTTTAACACAACATTTTACAAGTTCATCACAATAATTTGATTCAACAAAGGTTAAATTTGGGAAGTGTTCCTTCAAGACTAGACAAATAATAGGAACTAAAGATAATAAAAAAAGCCTTTACAGATTAAATGTCAGCCAGTTCAAGTTACAAAAGTATGTATATATTGGATAAAGATGGATAATATCATATACATGCAACAGTAAAATACCTGTATCAAGACTAAATGGTCTTCATTGTGGGGTGGTAGATATATATTTGTATTGTAATCTTGATTTATATATTTTATGAAAGTAGTCTATTTTTGAACATGTATTTGTAAGTTCAAATAATTTGTATGAAAAATTTGAAAATAGAAATGTGTCCATAACACTTATGCTCCCACTTCTTTCGCTGTCACACTGACAGTGGCATAATTACTTACATATGCATATTTAATAAACTATATATAACTTTTATATTACATTGCATATGATATGTAATCATATTTCATAGTGTTTAGTATCATTTTAATAAGTAATATATCTAAATACATTTTGCATGTAATAATAACTTTTAATTTTCACAAACCATATTACTGAAGAAACTTATGTTTTTGATTACACAAGTATTTCATGCTTCAGTCTGACCATGACCAAATGACCTTAAAATCAGTAGGATTCTCCTACAGGCCATGAGTAATGTCCATACAGTATCACTGTGACCTTGACATTGGACCCAATTACCTCAAAATCAATAGCATGTTCAGGCTCCTATGATTGATGGGACAAAGACTTTACACAGTGCTTCTGTGACCTTGACCTTTGGCTTAATTAACAACCTCGAAATAAAAATTTAAAAAAAGAGTTATCTACTAGTCACGACCATCCTCCACATAATTCTTAGAATTGAAGACTAAAATGTTCCCTATTTTTTGGTTGGGCAAACTTTTAATGGTCAAGATCATGTGACCTTGATTTTTGAACCACTGACCTCAAAATCAATAGGAGTAATCTACTTGTCAAGACTTTGTTAACATTAAATTCCTGGTTCTATACTGTAAGGCATAAATGATATAAAAAGATAAGATAAGATAATCTTTATTTAAAGTCGGTTTCATAAAAACATATAAACATTAGCTATATAAGCTATTTTCCGACATAACTTATTATCCTATAACAATTCAAACAAACAATCTGTATAAAAGAAAATATATAAAAGTATTAAGAAGATCAATGTACATTTATGAAATACTCTGTAAAACAGTTAAGATTTATCAGCACATATAAATGCGGGTAAGAAAGCATTAAATGATTAAAAGCAAATATAACATTACAATCAAATATCACATAAAATTACATCATACAAGAATTCTATTTATGTACACAACCCTAAAATCAGAAAAAGGATTAGAATTTTTAAAAAAAATTAAATTTTTACAATAAATTAAAAGCAAACTGGCAGGCTCAAATAGGTGTTGATTGGATTATCAGTGTTCTTTAATTGCAGATATCACATTACAAATAAAACAAAGAAAAATCCCATTTTCCGACAAGTCTATCAAGACTTGATGGAAAATAGAATTTTTTTATTCTTGTGGAAATGGTTTAAAAACAAGTTTAATGATTAAGACACATGCCTCATTTGTGTTAAAAGGTTTTTTTCTGACCTTTTACAGAATTTGTTCAAGTCCGGGGGATAGAGTCTGACCCCCAACTGTCTGGTTAAAACTGTTAAATATCTGATTAATTTAATTTATTATCAGCTAGGTATAAGAGAATTTATTAGTTTCTGTATAAAAAAAATTACCACAGGTAGATCTAGTATTCCTTTTATATGCTTTAAACTTTTCATTCCAAAGAGAACATCAAATTTTCAGTGTTTGACATTTCAACTTCACTGATAGATCTATTAAAATGAAAGTCATTTCTATTTGAATTCACAATCACCATATCACAGGTCATGAATTAGAACGTCCTAATTGTTAAAACCTTTGAAAATTTCATCACCAGAAATAAACTTACAATGGTGCGTGACACAAAACGGAGCATGACTACTAATTAACCTGTACCAATTAGTCAATTATTCATAAGTTTAGCAAATATTATGGTGCAAAGTCCACTGACTTATTTTGATAAAATTGTATGAATAATGAAGTGTAGATAAAACGCTTGAAGAAGCGGTAAACGGCGTAAAAAGGCGTAATGAGAAACAAAGATAAACCTACAGCAGCATTTTTTCATTGTAGCTTAAATAATTTTTGCATTTTTTTTCTACTGCACTGTACAGTATCTTTGATCGCAAAATTTTTGTTGCCTTATAAATCACACTAGATCTATATTAGTACTGGGACATACGATGTTATTAGACATAACCATTTTTGAAATCAATTCCATTTTGCTTAATGTAACCACGGCTTAATGTAACCAGTGGATATTGAAAATGAGTGTAAGTCTAATACTGAATTTATTGATTAATAAATAAATATCAAAAATAGTGTAGAAAATGATCAATGGAGGAGAAAGCACTTGCTTTCTATAAATGACATCATTCTCTATTCAGTTGTTAGAACATTTTTATAATATTCGGAAACTGCACGTGATTCTCGTGCTACGGAGTTATCTAGTGAAATAGAGCATGTTTTTAGTTTGTTTGTAAATTGTTACAACAGGACGGACCGTAACTCGGAATAAGATAACGCGTGCATCAATATTGATATCGATGAAATAATTGTATGTTATATCATGTAAACATTATTGATGTTAAAGCCGACTGTACATTGATTTCTATTATCCTCTCTTACATTTACCAGGGACTTTCAAATAGAAAGACCCTGCATTAACTTGTGTTGGTAACGAAAATATAATTAGTATTAAGTGGTCAAAAAACAATAAACAACGATTAGCATAAGATATGTTGCAATTTAACAAAACTATTATTTAACAAATTCTGTAAATAAGTTAATATGAAGAAGATGCGTTGTTAAAACGAAAGGGTGATTCCTCGGAAGCATTAATCATAACAAGACTACATGAAAATTGCCGGATCGGTTTGATTTAGTCTTACATGCGGGAAAATGAAAAAGTTTAATATCACTTGCGCCCCCTAGCACCGTCTTGAGCGGTACACAATTTTTTAAAACTTAAAAGTGCATGAATTACTGGAATTGTTGTAATGTATGAAATCTGGATAAAGAGTGGTCCATCGATTCTTTAATCATAACATAATCAATCAATCAATTAATCAATATGTGATTGGTGTCACCTGACATGAAAATTGTAGACTCGGTTTGATTGTGTGGGGGTAATGAAACAGTGTAACATCCTTCATCGATAACAAACATGCATGTAATATAACAGTATAATTTTGTCATTATATGCAAAAAATATCCCGACAAAGACGTAAATTCATTATTTAGCACATTTTTCTACAGTTTAGATTTCAGAGTAAGTTATTCTATTGACTTCACAGTTTTGCTGTTCATTTGTTTTTATACAATTATTATATTAATATGTATTTATTAATGTGTTAAGTTACATCGAGATACATGTTAAAAGGCATGTAAAATTAGTGCATGTACAACATTCATTTATTTATTGAGATAAAAAATACAAAAGAGTTTTACAGATCCCGGCACTGATACTTCAACTTTTAACCACTTTTATTCTGTTCTAGATTAGTTTAAGACATTTTCACTTATTAGAAAACTTGTTTATCTTTGTTTTCATATTTGATAATTTAGATTTTTTTACAAGCATTCAAATACACAGAAATAAATCAATATAATCTTCAGACATAATTCCAGAAAATTATACATTACTTATGAATTTCTCTTTGCTACCAAATGAAGAAAATGGTACACGTGATGATTATTTTTTAATGTATGTATTTTGTGAGCATATGCATTTTTACACGTCTTATATGAATACATTTATCATAATCATTATAATATCACAGCTAAAGTTGTAACGAGGACAAACCAAATTACCACTGAAAAGAGCATACTATCTTAAAACTAATGACACATGACTTGTTTTAGCTATTAAGTTAAGAGTAGATTTATCAATATATCTAAAAATATACTCAAAATATTTATCAAGACACTAAATACGTTATTTACCCTTGGCAAAGTGAACAATAGTGAAACAATTCACCGATGCGCAGGAGAGTATAAGTTAGTATTAGTTAAAACTAAATAGATACAAGTACAGACAGCGAAATCACAGTAGGTTATAATCACTAGAAATATAAACATAAAAACAAAAACGAGCTAAACTTTTTACTCAACAAATATAAACATAAAAACAAATACGAGCTAAACTTTTACTAAACTAACTTAACATCACAGAATGAATGTCGCAAAACTCTAATATTTAATCAATAATATAGAAAATGATCTTATGTTGGGTAGTCTAGTATATAGCTTTTACCAGAAGATTTGTATGAAACTGGATTTGTTGTATTTTATTATGTAGGTCTATATATATTATGTGTTATTAAAACATATCTTATTAAAAAGATCTAACCGCCTCCGTGGTCAAGGGGTTAGAGTCGATGGCTTCTAATCCAGTTACCTCTCTTGCGTGGGTTCGATCCCCGGGAGATGCTTTGGTAGTTTAGCGCGGAGGAAGGTAGTCTAGTACTAGTGTAACTCTCCAGGAACGATGGTTAGGAAACTACCCGCCTATGTGACTGAAATACTGTTGGGAGAAGGCGTAAAATGAAACAAACAAACAAACAAAAAAATTAAAAGATCTTACTTGAACAAAGTCATTTAGTGCCTGTTTTTGTTTATTTAATATGTATTTTCAATTTGTATTCAATATGTAATTGGTATCACCTTAAAAATAATCTTGACTCATGTCATGTCTCATTTTACACGCTTTTGCTTTTTTTGCAAGTTTAAACTGTATTTAATGTTCTTAATATTTGTATAAAACGCAGTAACCTTAATCAAATTTGTTACCGAGTCATTTTTCTGTGCTTTGTAAGTTTACTATAAGGATCTATAAGGCTATCGGTACAGGCCGGAATATTTAGCTCGAGGGTAACTGTTTACGACGGAAACACAGCTATCCTAAATGTTAACAGAGATTAACACAACAGATGTAATGTAACTACATGGATATACACATATTAATACTTTCTTTCATTTTTTTGACCAATGCTTTAAATGCAAAATCATAAAATTTGAATGTTTTAAAATGTTTTAGTTAATATTTGTCTTTGACTGGATAATTCATTAATCATGTTTAGAGTGAACTATTTATTTTTTTCACTTTTCTTTTCAATCCATTAGTCAGTGTTATGTTTAAAGAAAACCAAATATTTATTGATCTACAATTAAACTGGGACTTTCCAGAATTAAGTAATAAATGTAAACTGTATTATCAATGTGAAACAAACTAATAATTCACTTTTCAGTAAAATCCTAAACTCTGTAGTAAAATAAAGGCCATCAGGTATGAATATCTCCATGATCAAATGCAACATAAAAAATATATAGAGGATATTTGTTTAGTTCAGTGTAAGATCGGAATATATTTCACCGAGTGAGCACCAAAAGGAATATTTCACGAGTGGCGCAGCCACGAGTGAAATATGAACTTTTGGTGTCCACAAGGTGAAATATATTTCAATCTTACACTAAACTAAACAAATTTTCTTTTTATTACATGCAAAGAAACGTTTTAAAAAGACATTTAACCTAATACTGAATGAAAAGCGCGCCAAATAATAATACAACGTGACGTCATCTACGACGTCACGTCATTAAGTTGGTACCCAGTACTGTGCACGCTGGTATTTCATTGAAACAACGTAAGGGGCTTAAATTCAAAACAGTGAAATTATCAAAGTGGTTATTTCACTGTTTCAAACAGTGAAATTACCAGTTTTATATCACTGATATATTTCTATAAACCACCGAAACGCATGTAATAAAATTGGTTAAACTTTCTATTGGATATCTCAGATGTAAATATTTGGAGGGAAATGTCTATAAATTTAACATGTTTGGAGTTAAAGTAATGTGAGTGAAAAAACAAAACCGAGTTAAATGCCTTGGTATAGAAACCTCTGACATTAAAAAGATGAGTTTTTTTAGAGCAGATACTTGGATGGGGGAAATCCCGGGATCCGGGACGCCCGGGATCCGGGACGCCCGGGATCCGGGATCGTATTAGATATAGAGGGAAAATTATTTGATTATTTTCGTAATGAAAGACGATTAAACTATAAGTTTTTATTTTTATTGTATGTAATGAACGTTAAATTAATTTAAATTAGGATATGAATATATTTAGAGCTATTTATTAACAAACTTAAAATGCGGAAATCACAATACTTATAATTATATGCCTAATTAATTGGAAAAATTAAAGACTATATTCTTGAATTGGTCAAATCCCGGGATCCCTATATGTTTTAATACGATCCCAGCTTTTCTGAAATCTATATTCTTGAACTGGCCAATTCCTGGGATCTCTATATATTTTAATGCGATCCCAGCTTTTCTGAGAACTGCAGTATCAAGAGGTTAATACACGGCTAAAGTCCTCGGGTCCATTATTCATTTTACGGGCCGATTATCACCTTCCGGCCCTCTCCTGCCGTGTATTAACCTCTTATTCCCGGGATCCCTATATTTTTTAATACGATCCCGAAAATCGGGAAAAAATACGTTATTTTTACAGATTTTTTATAACTACTACAAATCAGAACTTATTCAGAAATCTCTACAAAAACATTCAAATGTTGATGATAATAATAGTTATACACCGAGAGTATAGGAGGTCAATTCCCGGGATTACTATATGTTTAATACGATCCCGGGTCCCGGCTTTTCTATAGGCGATCCCGGGATTTTTCCCCCACTCAGATATTTTTCTACATATCAAAATTCATTTTGCCATCTGCATTATAATCAAGAAAACGATAATTTTTGGTTTTTCATATTTGTAGCTCAAAAAAGTAATTTTAGAGTCCCATGCAAAGTATCATAGACCAATAATTTGAATAGTGGGTTACTCCTATTTATGGCTCTTTTCGCTACTTTGTTTCCCAAGCACTGAGTTGCATGGACGCTTGAGGCCATCAAGCGCATGACTTCCACAGATCATCATGGCTGCCGAAAACACCGGTGATTATTTTTTTTAAAGATTTTTCTTTATTACCCGTGAAAAAAGTTAATATTGATTTGACAACATCAGACATACGGAGTCTGATAAAGAAACTGTGTGTTTGTTGTTTTTGAAATAAGATTGCACTGTATTCTTTTAGTGTTTTTGTTTTTTAATCAGATGAATTCCTTTTTTAGCTCGACTATTCGAAGAATATGAGAGCTATTGTAGTCGCCCCGGCGTCGGCGTCAGCGTCCGCGTCGGCGTCTGCGTTGGTTAAAGTTTTTTGTAAAGTCAAATATCTCAATTATTGCTGGAGATATTCAATTGAAACTTACAATACTTATTTATAGTAACAAGGTACATCAGATAGACAAGTTGGATAACTCTGCCTACAATATTGACAGAATTATGCCCCTTTTTAACTTAGAAATTTTGGTTAAAGTTTTTTGTAAAGTCAAATATCTCAAGTATTGCTTGAGATATTCAATTTAAACTTACAATACTTATTTATAGTAACAAGGTACATCAGATTGACAAGTGGGATAACTCTGCCTACAATATTGACAAAATTATGCCCCTTTTTAACTTAAGAAATTTTGGTCAAAGTTTTTTGTAAAGTCAAATATCTCAATTATTGCTTGAGATATTCAATTTAAACTTACAATACTTATTTATAGTAACAAGGTACATCAGATTGACAAGTGGGATAACTCTGCCTACAATATTGACAGAAATATGCCCCTTTGGAACTTTGAAATTTTTTTTGTTAAAGTTTTTTTGTAAAGTCAAATATCTCAATTATTGCTTGAGATATTCAATTGAAATTTAAAATACTTTTTTGTAGTAACAATGTACATCAGTGTGCAAAATTGCATAACTCTGCCTGCAATATTTGCAGAATTATTTGCCCCTTTGAAACTTAGTAATTTTGGTTAAAGGTTAAAGGTATTCAAAGATATTTGCTTGAAACTTTACACATGCACTTAGAGTCGTAATTGGAGGGTCATAATTGTATGTCACTGACCAAGTTCCATAACTCTATCTTGCATTAAGGCTGATTCATATCCCCTTTTCTACTTAGTCTCTTGGTTAATATTTACATGCAAGTTTTACATATCTCAATAACTATTAAAGATATTTATTTAAAACTTCACATATGCTTTTAGGGTCATAATTGTAGGTCACTGACAAAGATCCATAATTCTATCTTGCATTTAGGCTGATTTTTCATGGTAAAGTTTTGTTTGTAAGCTGTTATCTCAATAACTACTGAAGGGTTTGTGCCTTTTTGGGACAATTTTATGCATTCATAATAATAAAGCAGTGATTTCTTGATAAAACATCTTAATAACAAGCCTTTGTACCTTGTCTGTCAAATTTATGTATTCATAGGTAATTAGTATTATTATATTCAATAAAACACCCTTGTGACATTACCTTCCGAATAGTCAAGCCAATACTGTATAATTAGACTCTCTCTAAGGCCTATAACATGAATTTATAAAAAAAAATTAGCCCTTTTGTGAACTTAAAAAATTTAACATTATCAAGGCTCTTTTACTATCAAGCACTTAGAATAGTCGAGCGTGCTGTCCTTCCGACAGCTCTTGTTTAAACATCATCATCAATCGCCTCACTCTTCATAGAGCATTATCGCGATGAACGTTTATAACATATCATGTAACAAAATATCCTAATATTATGAGGATCTCACTGCCAGCTGAACATAGGTGTTCGGCGCGTTGATTGGTCACTACCCCGGGCCAACTCCCCGCCCCCCCCCCCCCCCCACCTCACCCACTCTACAACCCTTCTACCTCTCAAAACCATGTAAACTGCAGTATTTTTCATTTTAAACATGTTTTAATATTTGGTATATATGCTTTTAATTCAATTACCTTCATCTCCCACAAAAAATAAAAAAATTGATATACAGTATAGATATTTAGTAAAGGTATGCAACTCGCCGCTCATTTTTCAACACTCATCTTAATATGAACTCCATAACTCCCAACATTTTTTCACCAATTTTCAATATCTTGGTACCAAATGGTAGGGCATTGATTACTCTTAAAGGAATTTAAGCTGTCATTACAATCATTTCAAGTTTTAAGAAGATACGCAATGTATGTAATCTCGAAGTCACCGCAAGTGTAACTCGACAGAGACCTGACCTTTTTCAAAGGCCGGGACCACAAAGACCAGCAAGTATTGGCAAAGCATGTGTGATGTTATAGCCAGAAAATATAGATTATTTGAATGCAGTATACACCATTTACATGAACGTTTATAACTTTATTAACTAATTGATTTATATTAAATTTACAGAAAACATTCCCCAGGAAGAAGAATCACAGTTTGATATTGAAAGTCATGAGTTTCTGATACCAAAGAAAGAAGTTGGTCCACCTCCAGAAATAATACCAAAATGGGAAAAATCACAGGCATACCAGGATCTAGTTGGTTTCATACTAGCCATGAATAATGCAGTGAAAGGGAAAAAGATCACAGCAGATAGTACAATGTCTCCTGTAAGTTACTGTAACTGTTTGGCTGAGACTTAGTCACTGATATACAGGGCTCACGCTGTCGGTCGCCATAGTCGCCATTTGCGATTATTTTATAAGATTGGCGATTATTTTTGCATTTTGGCTACAAAATCTGGCGATTATTTTTTTACTTCCAACAGTGTTTATATAAGGTGTAAAAATCGATAATGAATGTAGTAAACCCAATTAACACCAGCGGGGTGCATTTAATTGAATGTCAACTTTTTACCGGTCACGTGCTGCTAACTATATTGCCCGAGGGGAAAAATAAATGCGAGATGTATAATTGTATAAGTACTTTAAAGATATTGTCCAGCATTTATAATAGCCATCAAATATCCGTCAATTAGCCACAAAAATCGTTTTAAAATTGATAAACTGGATATTGACTAACCCAAAATTTACCGTGAATTGCAGTAATTGCAAATTTTGATTTTTTTTGTTTTAAGCTACTTGACTAAATCGCCAGTGGAAAACAATGATAAAATATTTAAAAAGTATTAACTTCCCAACAACAATTTGCACAACGACCAAAATTGTGAATATTTCTTCAGAAAACAGGAAAAATCCGATTGTCACATATTTTCGCGACACCGATAATTTTGATATTTCTTTAAAGGTGAAATAAGCTATGTTCTGTTTAAAAATCTTTACTACTATGGCAGAAAATTTGTATTACATTGGTGATGATGATATTTTTCAGTAAATTATTCAGAAAAAAGGCTGCGTTTTGTGAATGAGTTTGCAAACTTGTGTTATTTCTATAGGCTATTATGTCCTAGATCTACGCCAGTTCTGTGTGAAATGTGGAAATTGACAGTGGTTATAGCTGACAAAATTTGATTAGAACAAACAAAAAAGTTGTCTGATAACAGCATTATGTAAAGTTATAATGAATCTTTTAATATTATTGTTATACAGTAATTATACTAATTATAACGTTTTTATTCTGTTCTATAATAACAATTAAAGTTGTGGTTCTATTTAAAAAAAGGTAGTTATCAATATACACAAATGTATCAGTTTATTTGAGAATCCTTATAAAACTGAAAGTTTTATATAAATGTAATGTTTATTTAATCAACTGCTTATGTTGTTAATCGCTAATTCGTGAATAGTCCGCTGAACTTTTGGCTATTATTTTTTTAAGTTGAAATTATTGGCTATTATTTTATTTGAGCCAGTGTGAGCCCTGGATATATCAATATTTAGGTAACAGATATGGGTAAATATGTTGATATCTGATATCACTGATGTAGCCATAACAAATATATGACTGATATATCAATATGAGGTAATAAATATCAGGGTTTTACATCTCTTTGAAATTTTAGGGGTCCAGTGGATGCACAGCCTAGAAAAGTAGGGGTCCAGGCCTGAATTTTAGGGGTCCAAAATTATTTTCACTATAAAAGACTATGAAGACCACTCTATTTTGCTTAAAATCATTTATTTACCCTGTAAGAGATATGCATGTAAATTGTACTGTTTTCATAATTAGAAGTATATGATTTCAATATCTTTTATCACTAGGTTTTTTATAGCCCTTTAGTAGCCCTTTGTGCTATTTCCAAGGCTTATAAGTCTTTGAGTGGCTGGAATGTCAAGTTTTAGTAGCATATTTTGTTATTGATAAGGTGATTACACCAACAGACTGAAAATTTTTACTGATCTATTTGTAAATATTTTAGCTGAACTAGTAAACACACAATATATAACTTTACAGACCACTCAGCTAAATATGTTGCGTTTTTAAAAATATCATATAACAAAAGGCTGACGAAACCGCTTTTGCACCTCCTCATAAGCTGGGGCATACTTGATGTCCCAGTCAAAAGTTAAGTTCGCCGAAACCATTATATTTATAACACCAACGATAATAACATACCCAGTGACTTAATTTCTATAACACTATGAAAATAAGTTTGCAAAAAGCACTGCCTTTTTATTATCGCCATTCATGTACAAAATACATTCGCATCGACATTGGATACGCTAACCAATAGTAATTGCTTGTTATAAATAATCCGTCCAAATATAGCAACAGAAAAACCAAAAACAGCTACCTAAAATAGATTTTACGGTAAACGTCATCAGTTACTGTAGCTTGCACGATAAACGTCATCAGTTTCTGCAGCGGGCACTTGCAAAGAGCATGCGCAGTAGATTTCAATTATGTTAACTTCCGAAATAAACAATGCAAGCATTTTCTGCTCGCTGTATTAGATTTAAATGGAATTTTGTGAGCTTCGAGAAGAAAGAGATAAAATTATGTCGGGCCAGAAACAATAATATCTATTGTCTAGGATTATTTTTTGTGCGTACACTTGGACGCAAGTGGATAACTTATATGCGTACATGTCAAAATTTATGCGTATAGGGACGCAAAATTCTGCGTCCCGTAAAACCCTGAAATATCACTGATATTCATACATGAGGTAAAACAAATGTAGATAATGACTGATATATCAATATCAGTAAATATAATATCAGTAAATATATATCATTTTTACATCAATATCTGGTTACATATTTCACCATTGTATCAATACCAAGTAGAATTATAACTTACTGATATATCAATATCAGATAGTAAAATATATCACTGATACATCAATCAAATATCATCACTGATATAACAATATCAGATAACACACAGTAAAATAAATCACTGATATATCAGTATCATATATCACTGATATGTCAATATCAGGTACATGTAACATATATTACATTCACTGGTACACAATATATCAGTATCGTGTAACAAATACCACTGATATATCAATATATGCTAACATATATTGTCATTGTGTCAATATCAAGTCACAAATATCAGTGATATATCAATGTCATATGAGATATTGATGATATATATCAGTATTGTTATATAGCTATCACCAGCATATTACATATAATAGACTATACTGATTTTAATATGAATATCAGAAAACAAATATTACTGATAATTATGATACCAGATCACAGACATATCAATACAAGATATCTCTAAAAAAATTAAAATATCAAGTATAAGATATCACTAATATATCATCATATCATGTATTCTTTGTTAATTTTCTACTTGCTTGTATGTTTACATACTTTCAAACAATGTAAATAAAATACATGGTTCCATATGAGGTATACAATCTTTACACTCTTAGCACAGGGCTTCTATTAAGTTTTAAATTTTGGAAGTCAGGGACTGCAAAATCTCTAACACTGGAAATCACAATATATAGGTAAAGAAGGTAAAGCATCACAAGCCAAAATGAAGGAATGAATAACTCCCAAACTTCTTTTAACGGAAGCCCTGCTAGCAACAAAGTTTAAATGCTTAGATATACAATGTACCTTATTTAGTCTATTACATTTTCTTTCTACAGACTGTAACACAACTGATAAAGCTACTAGAGACATTAGACAGCTGGATAGCCGAGTTCCCACCTATAGATCAACCACAGAGATTTGGTAATGCAGCTTTTAGGGACTGGTTTAACAAATTACAACAGGTTTGAAACTTGTTTTTGATTTTCCTGTTGTTTAAAGGCACATTAAGCCTCAGAAATAAATTATGTATTTTTGTAGAAACAGCTAATTGTGTTTTATAAAGGTGCTATTTTGGATTTGGAAATTTTAAAGATGCTTAACAAAATCAGCCACTAATCACACACAGCCTGTAAATTATTGCTGGAATCTTGAATCTCCTACTTTTTTTTAAAATCTGAAGTACATGAATTACATTTTTTCTCAAATTTGATTTTCTGGAAATATTTTGGCTCACCTGGATCATGCAGCTTTAGATCTTGAGAAAATTATTTTTAACAGTAGGAGCTGTGATATTATAATATATCTTTGCTTGACAGAATGCTAAACAATTAATAGAAGATATGTTAGAAGATAAATACAAAAAGAGCAGTGAAGAAATAGCAGTGTACCTGGTGGAATCTTTCGGCAATCAAACGAGAATAGATTATGGTACAGGTAAGATGAAAATGCTAATTTGATAATTACTCCAAATTCATTATTTTTCGCGGGGAAATAATTTTTCGTGGTTTTGTGGATAGGTCATTTCTCTATTTTTAAGATTTAACAAAATTTCATTTTGTCTGCTGTAAGATTATTTTGCGTCACATTATTTGCATTATACCTTTTGGAATAGATAAACAGCCCACGAATTTTACAAGACATGAAAATGTTCTTTGTGACAAAATCACAAAATTTCATGCCCACGAAATTAAGCAAATTCACAGTAATTGGTCATGTTTTCACAACATACAGGTGAAAGTGATTTAAAATGAAAACTTTGTTTATCTACTGCCAGAAGGACACTGAGAGTTGTTCACTTCAAGTATCTGCATGATTAGATACTAATGGTTGTAGGATGTAAGAATAAAAATCAAGTGTTTATACGAAACCTATGTGTTATTTATTTTATTACCCTTAACAAATACTTCATTAGGACACTGTTTCTATAGGTCTTTATTTTTTCAGATTTTTTTACCTGTGAAATTTTTAGTCACATAGTACACACAGTTAATTGTAAGAATAATTCCCATTGGTCTATGGGAAATTAACATTACCAAAAATAGTGAGTGGTAATAATATATAATAAAGTGTATTACAGTATAGTCATATGAAATAGCTACAGGATAGAGAAGTAATTCAATGACTCGTGATTTAATTACATGTAATTACAATGTATGTATGTGGTCGAGGGGTTAGAGTCAATGACACATAATCCAGTTACCTCTCTGGCGTTGGTTCAATCCCCGGGAGATGCTTTGGTAGTTTAGCGCGGAGGAAGGTAATCTAGTACTGGTGTAACTCTCCAGGAACGATGGTTAGGAAACTACCCGCCTATATGACTGAGATCCTGTCAGGAAAAGGCGTAAAATGAAACAAACAAACCAACAAAACAAACGTGTTCATGTATTTTGTGTTTTCAGGTCATGAGATGGCGTTTGCAGCATTTTTATTCTGCTTCTATAAGATTGGAGTATTGACAGAATCAGATGCTGAAGCTGTGGTTTTGAAAGTTTTTAATAGGTAGTTACCCCAGATTTGTGCTAATTTTTATGCCTATTTTCCATTATTATCCCCCGCCGAAAAGGCGGCGGGGGATAAAGAAATAGTCTCCGTCCGTCCGACCTTCCGTCCGTCCTTCCCTCTGACATTTTTGTCCGGAGCATATCTCTAAAAGTATTTGAGTTATCCACTTGAAACTTCATAGGTGGATAAACCTCATTGAGGAGGAGTGCAGTGCACAAAAATGATAACTCTACCCTGCATAATTTTTGAGTTATTGCCCTTTGTTATTTTTCAAAATTGATTTTTGTCCAGAGCATAACTCCAAAAGCCTATGAGATATCAACATGAAACTTCATAGGTGCATAGATCTCACTCAGGAAGTGTGCAGTGCACAATAATGATAACACTACCTTTCATAATTTTTGAGTTATTGCCCTTTGTTATTTTTCATACCTAATTTTTCACCCGAGTGTAGCATAACTCAAAAAGTGTTTAAGATGTCTACATGAAATGTCATAGGTGGATAGATTTTATTGAGGAGGAATGCTGTGCACAAGAATGATAACTCTTCCCTGTACAATTTTTGAGTTATTGCCCTTTGTTCTTTTTCATACTATTTTGTCCAGAGTTTATCTCAAAAAGTATTTGAGGTATCAACTTGAAACTTCATAGGTGGATGGATCTCATTAAGGAGGAGTGCAGTGCACAAGAACTATAACTCTACCCTGCATAATTGTTTAGTTATTGCCCTTTTTTTATTTTTCAAAATTAATTTTTGTCCAGAGCATAACTCAAAAGGCCTTTGAGATATCATTATGAAACTTCATAGGTGCATAGATCTAATTCAGGAGGTGTGCAGTGCACAAGAATGATACCTTTTATAATTTTTGAGTTATTGCCCTTTGTTATTTTTCATACTTAATTTTTCAATTCAATTTTTTTCTCAAAAAGTATTTGAGGTATCAACTTGAAACTTCATAGGTGGATAGATTTTACTGAGGAGGGATGCAGCACACAAGAATGATAACCTACCCTGCATTATTTTTTAGTAATTGCCCTTTGTTATATTCAGCCATCAGTATTCACATAGGTTTCAAATCTGTAATCACTATAGCCATCAGTTTTCATTACCAAAAGACCTCTTAAAATGGAATTATTCTGCTCTACTACATATACATTCTTCCAATAAGCAAACACATTCGGTGGGGGATGGCCATGTTGACATGGCTCTTGTTTCTTAGCAAAATATACAAACAGAAACATATCTCTAAAAGTATTTGAGGTATCAACTTCAAACTTCAAAGGTGGATGGATCTCATTGAGGAGGAGTGCAGTGCTTAAGAATGATAACTCTACCCTGCATTATTTTTGAGTTATTGCCCTTTGTTATTTTTCAAAATTAATTTTTGTCCAGAGCATAACTCAAAAAGCCTTTGAGATATCAAAATGAAACTTCATAGGTGCATAGATCTCACTCAGGAGGTGTGCACTGCACAAGAATGATAACTCTACCTTTTATAATTTTTGAGTTATTGCCCTTTGTTCTTTTTCATACTTAATTTTTCAATTCAATTTTTTTCTCAAAAAGTATTTGAGGTATCAACTTGAAACTTCATAGGTAGATAGATTTTACTGAGGAGGGATGCAGCACATAGAATGATAACCTACCCTGCATTATTTTTTAGTAATTGCCCTTTGTTATTTTCAGCCATCAGTATTCACATAGGTTTCAAATCTGTAATCACTATAGCCATCAGTTTTCATTACCAAAAGACCTCTTAAAATGGAATTATTCCGCTCTACTACATATACATTCTTCCAATGAACAAACACATTCGGCGGGGGATGGCCATGTTGACATGGCTCTTGTTATTTTTAAAGTTTGTCGGACTACTTCTCTTTTACCACTAATGCAATTTCAATGAAACTTTACAGGATTGATCTGTAGCTCAAGTCCTTGCGCATATTGCACGGGTTTTCCGGTTGAATGATTTTTTGGCCGAGTTATGGCCCTTTGATAAAAAGGTGTTTTTTTCTGTGTGTTGCCAGATACACAAAAGCTTGTCCGGACTACTCCTCATAAACTACTGGTGCAATTTTATCCAAACTTTACAGGAATGATCAGTACCAAGTCTAGTTGTGCACTGTCTGTCCGTCTGTCACAAAACTTGTCCCAACATGAAATTGGCCATCATGAGGCGACACATGTGATCACTGATTGCTCTTGTTTTATTAGCTCACCTGGGTGAGCTTTTGTGATCGCTTTTTGTCCGGCGTCCGTCCGTAAACTTTTACTTTAAATGACATCTCCTCATAAACCACTAAGCCAATTTCATCCAAACTTCACAGGAATGTTCCTTTGGTGGTCACCTTTAAAAATTGTTCAAAGAATTCAATTCCATGCAGAACTCTGGTTGCCATGGCAACCGAAAGAAAAACCTTTAAATGTCTTCTTTTAAAAAACCCTAAGAGCTAGAGCTCAGATATTTGGCATGAAACATCTTCTAGTGAGTGTCTACCAAGTTTATTCAAATAAAATCCCTGGGGTCAAAATTGGCCCCGCCCCAGGGGGTCATTGATATTCCCTATATGCATATAGTAAAAACTTAAAAAATCTTCTTTTAAAGAACTCAAAGAGCTAGAGCTAAGATATTTAGCATGAAACATGTTCTAATGGGTGTCTACCAAGTTTGTTCAAATAAAAGCCCTGGGGTCAAAATTGGCCCCGTCCCGGGGGTCATTGATTTTCCTTATATGTGTATAGCAAAAACTGAAAATTGGCCCTGCCGGGGGGGGGGGTACAGGGGGGGAGAGTAAAAACTTAACATCGTGAAACATCTTCTAATGAGTGTCTTCCAAGTTTGTTCAAATAAAAGCCCTCGGGTTTAAACTGGCCCTGCTCCTGGGGCCTATATACAGGTGAGCGACCTCAGGGCCATCATGGCCCTCTTGTTTTGAAATCCTTCATGTTAAACTGACATTATGCCCATCCAAAGATACATAGTGTGTGAACAGGTGAAAATCAGAAAAAGTTTACATTTTGCCATAATTCCTTTCAATTTTATAATTGTTTTGCATGATTAATAAATAATCACTTGACACAATCACATTTCTGTAAAAATTCATTGGAATTTAACTGTAATGTTCAATGTATAAAAAAAGTGGGGCAGTCTTTTAACATGTAAGATGGGTTTTTCTTAATACCCAACAACCACCCCCTCTCCACCAACATGCTCCCCCGCCCCCCCTGAAAAAAACAAACAAAACAACAAGAAACCTTGAATAAATAAGGAGCGACAATAGTTTAGTGAGATGTGGTCATTATTAACATTTGTTCATATGTTAGTAAATTGGTAATGTTAGTTTTAATTTAACTATGTTGTTATTTTTTTTTTACAGGTAAAAACCGGTCCTTTTGCCGAGCATTCAAATCAGTTATGGAATATAAGTGCAGTGCCTAATTGGGATAAAGTTAACTCAGGACTTGTTAAAATGTATAAAGCCGAGGTACGACTTTGGTTTCTCAAGTTATAATAATGTTTCATATCATCCCCTTTTTGGTGAATCAATTTGATTGAAAATTAATAAATAGGGAAAGAAGACATTAAATATCATTGATTTCTATATACAAATTATTTTCGGCTTGACTATTTCAAGAAAAGGGAGAGCTTTTATACTCGCGTAAACTTTGGAGTCACATTTCGGTTAATTTCCATGCAAGTTGGTATCTCCAAAAATACTGAACGAAATGGTCTGAAACTTTACACACTTATTTTAGAGCACAATAGGATGTCGCTGTCTAAGGTCCAACTCTAACATAGATTTTGACAGAACTATGGCCATTTTTTAAACTTGGAAAAGTACTACATTATGCAGGCTCTTGTTTTACAAGCAAGTACAGAAAAAAGTCGTGCAAGCTGTCCTACAGACAGCTTTATTTCTCATACATTTTGTTAATCAAAATAAATTTTGTATTTGTAGGTACTGGCAAAATTTCCAGTGATACAGCATTTTATGTTTGGAAGCCTTTTAACAATGCATCCTGCCACCTGATATTCTTCACATAGTGTACTTCAATATATAAACATTCGCCATATGGTTGTGTATGTAATCTCTTCAAGTTGAAATCACTCAACATACGATTGTGTACATAATCTCTTGCTTCAGCTTGGGACTGTTGGAACAGAATATAAGACTGCATGTAAATTTTGGAGTATTTATATTTGTAGAATTAGTATTCAGCTGAAGCAAAATTTGTGTGATTGCAGACATAACTTTCCATACAAGTGTGACTGTGTACCTGAAAACATAATCATAAATCATAAATGACTACAGTTATTGCCTCAGCTTCAATTTTTCTGAGAAAAACTTGACTGCAATCATTACCTCATCTTCAAGTGAAACTGTGTAACTGAAAATATGGTAAATGAAGTTTTTACATTCACACAAAGTGTAACTGTGTAACTGAAGGCTATAAACATAATAACTGCAGTTATAAGTACCACTCCAAGTGTAGCTGAAGACAGGAAGCATAGTGACCACAGTTTTTACCACCTCTCAAAGTGTAAATGTATAACTGATTGCTAAAACAATGTGACTGCAGTTTTATCTACTTCAAGTGTAACAAAAGGCAGAAACCATAATCACTAGTTTTTACCACCTCTCAAAGGTTGAAAATACAATGTCTGATGAGTCAAAGTGTAACTGTGTAATTGAAAACTTGAAGCAATATCCATGATACTACAGAGAATGCATGTGTGTGAAATATTTAAGTGTTGCATATTGTTGTGTTTTGAGAAAGTTACATCAGCATTTTGCATTCCATAGTAAAATATATTCAGATGTTATATATGTTGCTTATTGTATTATGGGGCTTTCTGAAGTCATATTTTCTTTTTGCAAAAAGTAAAGCCCATGATTTAAACACATAGTGACTTGGCTATCCAGATTTCCTGGATGAACTGCATTTCTTCTTTCATTTTGATACAGTCCATTTCTGGTATCGAAAAATATTTTCAGAAT